TTTTTATATTATCAAATTTTTATAAGCATGGTAAGACGCAACTTTTGGCAAAGTTTTAAAAAAATTTGTTCATAGGGTTCAGAGCCACCTTAAGTTTTCAAAACTTTAAGGTGGCTCTGAACCCTATGTACAGATTTTTTTAAAACTTTGCAAAAAGTTGCTTGTTACCATGTTTATAAAAATTTGATAAGAAAAAAAATTCACCGTGCCGTTTTTGAATTAATAAGCTCCTAAAGCAGTAATTAAGGATGTTTTTAGCAGGTTATACCGTTGCTATGGTAACCTTTTGCGTCACGAAAATGATAACATCGTGTTCACCAATGATTGAGGAGTTTTGTGATACCATGATTATAGCCTCAAGTGAGAAAGAGTGGTTATAACGACCCATCAAAATCTAAACGCTGGAAACTGTTTTGAGCCACCTTAAGCTCCCTAATTATACCAAGATGACGCCTTCAAATTACTGAAGTTTCCATGATTTGCGTTTTTATCAATGTAGTAAAAGCCCTTTAAAACTACTTCAAAACTTTAAGTCCGCCGTTCTTGATTATTCAGATCAAGGACTTTCCTGCGACAAGTAGCACAATTAAAATGATTTGTGTTGAATTAAAGTTCGTTTAGAAACGCTCTTAGAGATTAACTTGCAGCCCTTACATTGAAGACTGAAAATTGTCGTTAGTCGCATCAAAGAATATATAATGTTATAATGCGACCTACGTACAGCTCGATACATATCTCGATCTAAGCTATTGGTCTTAAACTAAACGACCTTAAAAAACACCATGAGAGATTAAGACACAGCCCTGGACTAGAAAATTGTCCTTCGTAAATTTTCCACATCAAAGAATATTATCAGACATACAGCTCAATGAAAATAATTGCTATTGAACTAAATTGCCTTTAGAAATACTCTTAAAGATCATCGTAAAGGTCTGGCACCGAGAACACTAACTAAAAGTTAAAATATGGCGAATTAATTAAAGTCTAGTTTCTGATGCCGGGAGAAAAATTGAAAAATTCAAAATAAGTTTTTGTCATTTTTGCGTTTTTTATTTCTGTTCGAGCAAATAGCATGTTATAAAAGATTATAGTTTGAATTGTTCTAAAAATAGAACACCATTACAACGTATTAACATGCGTAATACAAATTTAAAAATTTAAAACTACTTTTTGTCACCGAGGAATTAAAGATAGCACGAAATTCAACCTCGTAAAAGGAAAGCCGACATGCTAATTTTCATGCCATCATTTAAAAGGAAATAAAAACTTACCGTATCAAGCATGCAGCTAGGCGATTGTTGTTGTTGTTTTTTTCGCTTACCTAATTTATGTTGCTTTGATGTTACAATTTTAAATGGTCTCAAACTGTTTCTCCTTTTTACCATCAATGTTGTTTACGAAATATACGCTAAACTTTCGATTTGTTCCTAATGCATTTTGATTTATGGTGAGGAGAAAAACAAAATTCAAATTAAGAAAATGAACGTTCTTTTATTAATTGTGTTTCATTCATATCTCTCAAAATCCTGTGTGACTGACACAATTTCCATATCTTTGATTTGACCAGTTTCAGTGTAATTGAGAAGAGATAACTGCTTAGAAACGAAAAACTTAACGATCCTGCATACGCGGCGAAAGAAATGAAAATAAATTTATTCTTGATTTTGAATATGAATATTATGCAATGGATTCCCGGTGTAATTAAACCGAGATAAAACTGAATAATATGCGATGCAATGTTTTCAGATGTTACTAGTGTAACAACTAATGTTCCCGTTTCCTAGCTATCAAACAAAAAGAAAATGGAATAACGTTTCAACATATACCGACAGATCAAGTCGACCGGCTTAGATCGTATGGTGTAATTCTTGGTAATATTCGTGATTTTTCTCTTAGTGGAAGTTACAGGATAATCAAGGGTTTCATTACTTTAAGAGAACAAGCAGCATTTGCGACGTTTGGGAATAATGATTCACAGGAGGACACCGTAAACCGAAAGTATTCATACACTACAGGAAACCGCACGAAAACAATATATATTCATCACAAAGACAAGATAAATCGGTTTTTACTTATCAAGACCTGAAAACTGGTTAACTTTACGCCTTGCAAGCAAAACACGAGCTTGAGTGAACACTTATTTGATTTGATATCTGACCTTGGTATAATGCTTAAGGCTCGATCGAAGTAAACTTGGAATCAAAATTCCAAAAAAAAAAAAAATAGGAATGTTTTGCAAGCATTTTTTTGCACTTTAACTGATGAATAATTCTATATCTTCTTGCGTCTCTTTTTATGAATGATGTAATGTAAACACAAGTATGATATTTACTCAGGAAATATCAGCTAAATTTGCGAAGGTCGCAACGTGTAAACATTGATTTCTTGCGCTTTGAACACGATGAGAATCGCAAACGCTCGTCCTGACAAATTTTTTAGGCCATAAAATCGCAATTTTTAGAAACCTAATTTGATTAGGTGTGCGAAAATGTAACCATGGCATATATTGTTGCCCGGATTTTATTCATAAAATCATATCAGTTTAATTTTAAACGTCTGTGATAAAATTCCTAAAAGCGCCGTTTTGAGTTTCATATGTATATATATACATTTTTTTTTAAAATTTATCTTATCTGAAGTTTTTCGGAGCGGTTGTCAATCGCTTGAGACAGGCACTTAACGAGCTATCAAAAGATGAATTTTTAAAATGAAAACAGCAAGACAGGACTTTCAATTTACCTTTGTAATGGGAAATGCTGTTCTGCTCTGTAGCAATCCGATGGAGGGAATCGAGCAACTGTCCAAAAGGGTGGAATAAAACAGGCCGTCCTCTGTCACCTCAACGAAGATGATAGCTTGTGAAGTCGAAGTAATATTCGCAATCTTGGGAATGATGCTGCTTAAACCATTAGCTCGTGAAGTAACGTAGGTCAAATTAGGCTTTGAAAAATGGATGTCAATGACTATTTCATTTGAAAATGTATCGTCAGTTGTAG